GTTATTTGGTATTATTTATTTGATTTATATCTTGCCTTTCTATCCAGAGGGCACTCAGCTAAAAAAAGAATTAATTTGATAACAGATAAAATTATACTAATAAATAGTAATAGTCTAAGGATTAATGGGAAGATAAGGATTCTTGCAAACAACATGCATAACTGAAGAAATTTATATTCCCTCTCCCCCAGTCTGCAAACTCAGAGAAATAATAGTTCTGAACCCTATTTTAGCACCCTGGGTACAGTTCTTGACTCACTGACAGCCTATCATTTAACCTTTCCTCATAGGGATAGCAAAACACCCCGATCAATTTAAGTGCCTCATTTTATATTATCCCAGTCTCCAATAGCACATTCTATCACTCCCTTTTTGGAGGCATGAGCAACATTAACTCCAATGTTCACAGGCTATCAACCTATCACCTGAATTTACAACCCACCCCAAACCTGTTGGATTTAAGGCAATGAACAGCAAATGCAAAAAACAGAAATTAACAGCAAAAGCAAAGAAGCAGAAATTACAACAAAATACGAAGAATGAAAACACTGATATAATTAAAATTCCCTTGTGATGGCACCCACAATCAATTAGAGCTGAAGGTATGTCGGAACAATACCAATTTAATTTCTTTGTATAATGCAAGGGGCAGTAAGGCCAAATTAATTCTAGGGAAGAGAGTTCCAGAGAGTGGGGGGCTACCATGGAGAAGATCCATCATTTAGTTCACAACCTATGTAAACTGGAAAGGGTAGGGGGATTCTTAGCAGTCCCTCTCTAGATGGCCAGACTGGAGAGTCAGATTCATTTTTGGCAGTCTACCCCATATACACAGGATGTATACGGACACAGACATCTATTTGAGGTGTGGAGTCGTTGAGGTCTCTAGACCAGGTTTGCACAACTTGTAGAGGGAGAAAGGGCCAGATGGATACCTTAAAAACAATCTGGGGCAGCAGATTGATTATGTTTCAAAAACCGCCAGTGGGTCACACAAGACTGCTAGGCAGGCTGCATGTGCCCTGTGGGCCATATGTTGTGCAGGCCTCCTACTTCACTCCTCAGCTTCCTATTCAGGTCTCCACATATCCCAACCCCGCCCCCCAAGTCACTCATAACCCCATGATAAAACTTTAAAAATACTGTGTCTGGTCACAGATTGTAAAGTGTTTAGACACTCTTAAAACCACACATTAAAACCTGGAAGATTAAAACGTGAAGGTGTACACACACCTACACACACATACACTATAAAAGTTTGGGTTAACTTTCTTCAGTCTAACACTTTCCAGACCTGAAATGACAGTATTCCCATTTATTTTATAGCCAATATGCCCAGAAGCTGAGAATCATAGGAGCTGTAGTCCCAAATCATCTTGAATGCACCAGGTTTATACCATTTATTATTTTTATTCTGCTTTCCTAATGCATTATGAGAACTGTTCAGTTCTTGGTGTTCTCTGAGCTTGGTTTTAATCTTGCAGATGTTTAATTACCAGGCTAGGTAACATTATTAATGCTCAGCACCAAGCTCGGAGAGCATCAAGAGTCAAACAATTCGTTCCTGAGCTATACAAGTAGTCCCCAAGTTAAGTATGCCCAGTTTAAGGATGACCCATAGTTAAGAATGGAGCCTACTGTAGCAAAATTCAAGTTAAATACACAATGATTTGAGTTCATTACACAACATACAGTATTATACAATACTGTTCTGGCTTACATACAAATTTGACTTAAGGACAGAACTTTGGAACGGAACTTGTTCTTAAACTCCTTAAACTGGGGACTAACTGTATATATTCTCCACTATTGCAATTATGAGAATAATATCATAGGGGTGTGTGTGTGTTCCAATCAAATCCCCCTCGTACTTCTGGTTCACTCAAGTTAACTTTTTATTTCTTTCACTTTATTCTTATTCTACTGTTCTGCATTTGTTGTTTAAAAAATGCACCCAGAGTAGATAGCAAGGAACGCTAATATACATTTTGAACACTTTTTAAAATGAAACAGAAACAACAAAAGCAGAAACAAACCCACGGATTACTATTATGGGATTCTCCTGTGACTGTGAGCGAAGTTGCAGCATCTGAACTATCATGTGGACACTTAGACTGGTATGACTGCTCATATTTTTAAGAAAGGAAGGGGGGAATCATAACACACTTGGTAGCAGCCCTCCCCCTCCTGATTTGCCTAACCACCTCTGTAACTACTAGCCAGCATATCCACTCACCATTGTGGCCAGAAACTGTAATCTAAACCAGCGGAGCATCAATTCAATATAGAAACATTCAATATGATGGCTTAGCAAGTCTGGACTTGTCCCTTAAAGCTCCTAGCTTGGGAACTGCTATTCTAAAGTATAAAAATGCATGGATGCTTATTGATGTGGAAAAAGCCTACATCTTAACCAGATTTTTTAAAAAGAGAGGTAGAGTTAACTAATATATGGCAGGGAAGCCTACAGACTGCAGTTGGCTAAATGGAGTTTATATATTCAATGGCAGCCCAATATGCCTATTCAACAGATGCAGAACTAAGTTATTGCCTTCATGCAGAGTTTGTTCGGGTACGGTGGAAAGCAAAATAAATATATGCAAATATTTGCTCTTACCCAGCTTTAAAAGAACCTCCCCATTCAAGAGCAGTATACTTCTGTTGTTAGTCCTTAGTACAGGTAGTCCTCGTTTAGCAACCACAATTAGGACAAGCAACTGGGTTGTTAAGAGAAGTAGCCACTAAGTGAAACTGTAACTGTACTTATTATCTTACTTCAGCTTGCAAAGGTCATAAATGCAAGGACTGGTTGTAAAGTTACTTTTTCATCACCATCATATCTGTGAACGGTTGCTAAATGAGGCAGCCGCTAAATGAGGACTGAAAAGGTAAGGGCTAATATTTTCTCTTGTTATTGGAAAGACCCTCAGTTCAATTGATGATGTACATTCTTAAGGATCGGACACAGAGCTAGCTTGTTTGCTTCCTGAAGGATGGGGAATCTGTTTCTCTTTTGAAGCTGTGGAAATGCAGTTTTCTTAATTCATGGCTACAGGTTGGTTAGTGCTGATGGGAATTGTGGTCCAACACCTTGCTGATATGGAACAGTAGCTTTCTACTTAGAACAAAATTCCTTGGTGCATTCAACCATTTGCTGAGTCACTTATTTTTTTAACTCCTGTGATGACACTTGCACAGCTCATTTTGGCTAAAGCAGATTCAAGAAACAGAGGAAAGCTTCTATACTATTCTTGCAGACAGGTGGGGGGGGGGTTCCACAAGAGGAAAGAAGAGCTGAGAGCTGAAGGTTGTTCTGCAGCTCTCACATCTTCCCCAAAATTAGACACTTTATATTTATTTGGTTTGATGAATTAAGAAATCACCTCAGCTTGTGGCCGCAGTTCTAAGGCAACATTTTTTGCATATTTTAGCTCCTCTATCATGGTTTCAAACATTCTTCCTAAATGAGAGGCATTCAGAAAAAAATTCTCTCTTATCATGGGTGGCCCTGGGTAATTTTGTTACACCTCAACATCACCCTACATGAACTAAAATTGCATTTAAGCCACTTAAGAACCATTCACCTCAGTGTCCTATAGAGGAAGATCAATCATGGCTGACAAGTTCTGTTTAAAGAAAACCTGTACCTCATCTCTGATTTTGCTCACCAAGGATCAGCAAATAATATTATCCTACAGTCCCAGGGCACAAATGTGAAAATCAACAGTCCAAATAACTATTTTAATGATTAACACTCATACGGTAGCAGCTATTTAACACTGGCCTTTCACACACAAGATAGTATTTTTTTCAAGATAGTTTCAAGAGAGAAGGGAACCGACTGGAAAGATAATTGATTATAACACCCACATGTTTCCTGCCATCTTCCTTGCTCTCCCAGAATGGCCAAAAATTAGATTTTTCTGCCTCAATCAACTAACAGGAACAAGCAAGTAGAAAGATGGAATTTTTTCCCCTAACTGTTCCAAACAAGATGCACCTTTCACAAGAATGCACCTTTCTCAGACCTATGCAACAATGAAGCTAGCAGAGACCAATTATTTTTTATTTTCAATTTTCTACATCAAACAGTCTGTTAGAGAAAGAATTCATGTTTATCGCAGAAAGCCATATAACAGAGGGACCTGAGAAGCATTTGCAATATCACTGCAGCCTCAATAGGATGGCCTGCACACTTAAAATGGACACAGTACTGTAGCTGCGCACGGCAAGGGAACTTTCAAAACAATTGGGGGAATCCTAGAGGAAGGGACAAATTGGAAGGAAGCCCCAGAACTGCAAATGTTTACTTCTACATGGTAACATGGAGAGGGCTATTACTATACAACAATCCACACACTATACAGATTGTTATCAAGGGTTGCCTAGGAATTCTGGGAGTTGTAAACTCCACATTGGAAAAGGGCAAACTGCAAACACGATTTAGGATTTATGAAGAGCTGGCTAGAGTGTCACATTTCTGAGTGTCTTTCTCAGTGTGTGAATATGCATGCAAGGGAAATCCTCTCCTGGAGACATGCAAAGGCTAACAGCCAAGTCATGGCACACTCTTTCCTGCCCGCAGAACAGATGCACAGCACTGCACACGCCAGCAGCTACTACTGGTGGTTCAAGATCAAAGACCTCATGGAACCAGAAAAAAAGTTAACGCCTTACAGGCTCACCTTACACGAATCCTTCCTAAACCTGAAGCTTTAGGTCAGGCACTTCTCAGTCCAAGCCTGCCATACCTCAGGAAGATCAGAGACAGAAACAAAGAGGGTGAGGCCCTAAGACCCTCATTATCTAAATTTCTGGTAGGGGACGTAGATGGGTTTGGGTGGAGAAAGAAGAAAGTGAAACATCATTTTATTTTATTTCATCCCACTCAGACTTGGCGCATGCATTACATTCCCTCATCTTAACTGAACAGGACTCTTCCCATATGTCTTATTCCCTAATTTCAGAATTTCCTCCCGATTTTATTTTTAAAAACTAACCTTTAACATTCTTTGCAAAGAAAGCGGGGGTGGGGGGGAAGCTTATGTACTTCCTGGTCTGTTGTTCCTTTGGCAAACGAATTCACACACTTTCAATTTCAGATCTAGAAAGACCTGAAATAAATAAAGGCAAGAAATCAGCTTTATGTATACAGTTAAAAGCAAACACATTTTGGAATGGGGGGGCGTAATATCCAACTATTTTTAATGAATTGCTTTATAGTCTGGCATGAACTCAGTTAATTCATGGAAATTACAAATATAGAGACACCAAAGTACAGAACAATCTACAGTCTGGAGGAATAAAAGAACCACAGAGAATATGCTGATGAAGGCAAGGTGATGGTGTTAAAATACATTGTATTTAACTGTGAAAAACATAATTTTCGCCAGTCTTGAAATAATAAGTTGAATACACAGAAAAAGAAAGTATTTTTCTTCTGCATATGCATAATGCAACCATTTCCAACTGCCATGCAAAACTAGATCTAATCTACCAACATTTGCATCTCCCGAAACCACCACCTAATTTATAACTCACATTGAACAAAACAAGCCACAGGCTTTGAGGAAGGGGGGGGAGAAGAAAACATACAGGCTTTGTGTGTGGCTGCTTGGAACTCCCCTGCTTAAAATACAAAAAGATACACCTCAGAAAGGACTGTAATAAGAAACAGGGTTTTCTGGGGGGAGGAGGAAATACCATCCCAAAACATTGCAACAGTTGGCTAGAGGACCAGAAGTTAAATCTTCATGTTTATGTGTGAATAAAACAAGGAAACTGGAAGAAAAACAGAAGCTCAATCCAGTGGGGTCCAAGGTATCTATTCTGCTCCTCCCTGGGCACCCCATACGCCCCCTATTCAATAAAGGAGAAAAATTAAACAGATGTAGCCCCCCCACCCCACCGCATTAATGCACCCATCTTCAGTTTTATGAATATCATGCCCATCAGTCAGGCACAAAACCTTTGAGAGGATTTTTAATTCCTTTCCTTCCGTTCTTTTTCTTCCTCCATCTGCCTCCCCTTTTTTCTTTTCCACAAACACACCCTGATTATGGAGATTAGTAATAATTTGTTTAGAAGTACAGAGACCGGGGTGGATAAGCTGGTTGCCAATGGAAAATGAAAAGGAAAAAAGAGGGCACTCAGAAGAAAACTAGGGCTCACCTGTTTACTTTCTATCTCCTCCTTCCTTTTACAAACAATCACCTTAAAATGCAAGGAAGCCTGGAAGCTCTAACCACCAGCCTCCATCCACCTCCACCGGTTTTTTTTTTTTAATTTTTATTTTTCAAGATTTCTGAACAAATAAAAACCTCAGCACTCCAAATATATAAACAAATTAAGCACAGGCCTGGCATGCTGTTGCTTCCTTTCCTTCGCAAACCGTAAAAAAGCAACCCCCCTCCACCACCCGGTCCACCACCCCCCCCTCCCTCCCTCCCACCC